CAGTTCCTTTGCAGTTGAAATCTTGTGCTGTGTTTGTTTGATTGCTTAGTTAACATATTTCTAGCTTGTCTTATATCAAATTTGTTTGATTGCTTAATTAACATATTTCTAGCTTGTCTTATATCAACAGATTGTAGGGTAGGGTACAGTCAGTAAAATCAGAGTAAAAGAAGTCAAATAAATTAAAGCAGTTTGGAACATTTAAAAACTGTGTAACACTAACAAATTCAACAAAAGAAAACCAGCAAATGTACAGTTTGGGAATTGAACCTTCATCTCACTCAATGCTAAGATTGAAGTAAATTCCAGCTTCCAACATGGCAACAAAATAAATGAAATGTGGGTGGTGGTGGTGGGCTTCTAAGAGGAAGGTATTCCATATCCAGGGAAGCTACAGTTGAGGAATCTCTGCCTTGAGTATTTTGGCTGCTTGTTGCATCAAGTCAGTATATCAACTTTGTATAGACATTCCAACTCCACAGAGAAAGACTGTGTCTGGATTGGTGCATACAGATTGCTATTTTGGGTTATAAAAATAAATGAAAATTATACCTTTGTTCTCCTTACAGTGGTGCCTCGCTTAACGATTTTAATTGGTTCCAAAAAAAACATCTTTCTTGGCTACATGTTGCATCAAGTCAGTATATCAACTGTGTATAGAAGTTCCAACTCCACAGAGAAAGACTGTTTCTGGATTGGTGCATACGGATTGCTATTTTTGGTTATAAAAATAAAAGAAAATTATACCTTTGTTCTCCTTATTTTTAATCCATTTAGAGCACAGACTTCCAAGAAATAGTCGAGATCTCACTTTGAGAAGATAGATCTGATACTAGGAAGGCTGCTGGTAACAGTCAGTTGAGTGTCCCAAGACGTGTTGTTTCTTGGATAATGCCAAGAAGATGCTCCCTCAAAAAGCAGAGAGAAAGAGATTATTTGAAGCCAGCTCCAAATTAAAATTTGTTCATCAGTGGTTGGATGACAGTACACATGTGCGTACCCTGATGTTATGGGGAATTTGAAAAGAAAATGACCTCAGTTTGGAACTTAATACACCCATCAGAATATTCTTCTCTATGTTCCTCCCCATGTCCTAGTGAGTCACTGTGTTTATGGTGGACTCACTAGAACATCCCTACCATTATTTACAATAAGTCCTTTTCCCACTCAAAGCATGCCTTTTTAATTAAAAAACAACAACAAAAATAAAGAAAAGTTAGCCCATCTGGTTATAACTTACTTTCATTGCAATTCATTCTCTGTAGTTAGTGCTTTCTCTTTTCTTTTAAAATGGGAGCCATAGTGAAAATAGGGTGCCATTCATTCTGCTGATGGCAAGATCTTTTAAGTTATTTGACACTGACCACAGTAGTACCATTACAGCTCTTTAACTTGTCTGAACTGAGATAAAAACTTTTATTCTTAAATATGCTTTGTTGCTATGTTTTCTTTCGCTGTTCATTTCTGTGGTGAAATGATTGAGGCAATTTACTAATAGCGCAATCTTATACATGTTTACGGAACTGTAAGCCCCATGGCATTCAGTGGGGCGTAGTCTTGGGTAAGTAGGCATTGAGCCGCAATCTGATTAAAGATGTGTACAGACATACTGCAAGAAAGTATTTTTCCCCTTTCAGTGCAGCTTTGATTTCCCTACCAATCCAGATTAACTGTACAGTTATCAGGCTTACTAATCAGTGAATCAAATATAGTTTCTAGTGCATCTGGATCAAGGCATTTCCAAATTTTGTTCCCGGAACAAGCAGAATCCAAATGGTCCCTCTTCTCCCCCCTGAACTGGGTATCAAAATCCTTGCCATTCTTGGCTTCACCTCTCTTCTGCCCATGGGGCCACTTATCAGTTTCAACCCAAATGGCTTCATTAGTCCCTCCCTGTTGTATATCACAGTGCAGTCCTGTTTACACTAAGGCAGGATGGTGTCTAGAGCACAAACGGTGTAAGACTTGGCTGTGAAGATCGTCAACTATGTTTGAGAGCCCACCATCATATTTACATGTGTTGACCCAGCCAGGAAAAAAGCTTTATTTTGTTGTACTCATGATAATTCTGCAGAGCTCAGTGTTGCCTTCATAGCCGTTCCCACATAGTAGCCGTCTGACAGGGCCCTTCTAGGTGGTTTTGGGGTTTATCAGCATTCTTTCCAAACAATGGATTATTGGATCCCTTGAACACCTTCTGTGAAAAGCATTTAAGAACTTGATGCAACACACCTATATGAGGTGTTCTGTCCATTTTTTGGGGGGGGGCACTCTTGAAACAATCTCTGTGACTGAGCTGATTCATTCCTCACAGCAATTTGAAAAGTAACCCGATATCCATTTCATAAATTTAAAAATTGTTCTAGAAAGGGAGAGTGAAATGGCATCACAAGGACTCAGCCATTTGAGCACAGCGCTTACCCCCTTCCCTTGCAAATGGGTTGGACTACTTACTGGAGCAGACTATTGCTCATCTGATCGAAACATGCTACCTATGCCTCAACATTGTGTTCACGTTGCTAGAATTATGTTTCATCTGCTTGTACACTCAGATTAACATGCTTGCCACTTTCTGTGAAACTTTTCAGTAGAACCTAATTCCAGGGAAGCTGTTTCAGCCCTAGACCTAGCATCCGGGGTCAGTAATGTACTAAATGAGAACAAACGGATGCTTAATCCAGACAAGGCAGAGGTGCTCCTATTCAGCTGAAAGATCAACCAGGGAATAAGGATCCGATCAGTGCTGGATAGCAGTACCTTCCCCCCAAAAAAACATGGGTTTGCAGCTTGCTCTCTTTGATTCATCCCTGAGCCTTGAGGTCCAGTTCTCAACAGTTGCCGGGGGTGCATTCGCAGATTTTAAGCTACTGTGTCAGCTACATCTGTTCCTTGAGATGTCTGTTCAGCTAAAAGATCAACCAGGGAATAAGGATCCGATCAGTGCTGGATAGCAGTACCTTCCCCCCAAAAAAACATGGGTTTGCAGCTTGCTCTCTTTGATTCATCCCTGAGCCTTGAGGTCCAGTTCTCAACAGTTGCCGGGGGTGCATTCGCAGATTTTAAGCTACTGTGTCAGCTACATCTGTTCCTTGAGATGTCTGATATGGCCATGGTGACACATACTTTACTTACATCCCATTCAGATTACTGTAACAATCTCTGTGGTTAATTTTGGAAAATGTCCAGAAACTTCAGCGAGTCCAGGATGCTGCAGTTAAGACTCCTCACTAGAGCCAGTTACAAAGAGAACAGAAACTCACTGTTGCACCAGCTTCACTGGCTACTGGTCTGCTTCTATAAAAATTCAAAGTGATGGTTTTAATCTATGAAGCCCTAAATGACTTGCACTGGGCTATTTAAGGGACTGTACCTCTCCAATATCAAGCTCTCCAGCTTTTATGATTTTCAGGGGAGGCCTTTTTCATAGTCTCACTGCCATCACAGACACATTTGATATGGACACGGGGGACGGTCCTTTCAGTGGTTGGTCCCAGTTGTTCCAGAGATTTTAAGGGGAAATGGGTCCTTTTATCTTTTTAAAGACATTTTAACTAGTTTTAGTAGGGTTTTATTTTGTGTCATTTGATCATTAATGTTTGGTCATTTTAAATAATGTGACTATTTATATTTAATATTATTTTCTAATTTGTGTTTTTATATGCTTTGTAAGCTGAGTCCCTCTGCAAGTAGAAGGGCGGTGGCTGGCTGGCTGGCTGGCTGGCTGGCAATAAATAAATAAATAAATAAATAAATAAATAAATACTAAAATACAGCATTGCCGCTTAAACTGAATTTTTTAAAAATAAATCACACAACAACAAAACATATAGTAATAAGCAGTGAAACACTGATGATCCATTGAAAAGAGTAAAAGCAATGATGATCCATTGAAAAGATATGTCAGCCAGGAATTCCAGATTAAAATTTTCCACCACCAGGGTATCATTCCCCCAAAAGGTACAGTGGGGTCTCTACTTAAGAACTTCATCCGTATTGGAAGGCGGTTCTCAAGTCGAAAAGTTCTTATGTCGAATCTGCATTTCCCATAGGAATGCATTGAAAACCATTTAATCCGTATCTGCTCTTTTCCGTCCATAGAAACTACAGTGGAACCTCTACTTAAGAACTTGATCCGTATTGGAATGGTGTTCTTAAGTTGAAACGTTCTTATGTTGAAGCAAAATTTCCCATAGGAATGCACTGAAAACCGATTAATCCGTTCCGGCTGTTTTTTGTCCTTATGTACAGGCACGTTTGTACGCTGAAGCATTAGTTCCCATAGGAACTAATGCAAAGCCAGTTAATCCGTACTCTACCACTAGGGGGAGAATTTTTTTTTAATCTAAGAGATCTGCCTAAAATGACCTAAGGTTAAAAAAAAGGGCAGGAAAGTTTTTTTTTTCCCCGTTCTTATCTTGGAGCTCCGTTCTCAAGTAGAAGCAAAATTTAGTGAACGGAGCTGTTCTTAAGTTGGATTGTTCTTAAGTAGGGACGTTCTTAAGTAGAGGTTCCACTGTACTTATGCCACTCATGCCACTCATGAAGGTACTGGCGTCTGGTGGAAGGCCTCTGGCATGGATCAAAGAAGGGTTGCAGGTCCACATGGCTGGGAACAGTGCTACCACTAGGTAGAATGAAGCAACTACGGTGGGCAGTAAATTTGGCAGGGCCATGAAAGGTCAAGGAAGTTACTGGTTTTGTTGTTCTTCTATGTTTAATGCCGGGGGTGGAGAGAGATACTCTTTGAATTTTCTGCTTCGACTGTCCAAACAATTTAACTGACCTTAGGTATTAAATAGCTTAGCTTGATGTGGGGAGGAAGTCCCAGTTGCTGCTCTGCTTTGGGCAGGAAAATGTCTAGGGCTCACCTTATGTATGGGAGTGTGTACTTCCCCCTCCCCTCCCAGTTTTCTAGTTTAGCCTATGACAGAGAGCAGAGATATCTCTTACAGCTGGCAATTGAGTGAGATTTTAAATGATTACTTTTTAAATATTTACAGGAGGCTCTTATAATGGCAAGCATGGATCATCCCCACCTTGTGCGACTACTAGGTGTCTGCTTGAGCCCAACCATCCAGCTAGTTACCCAATTGATGCCCCATGGCTGCTTACTAGACTACGTCCATGAACAGAAGGATAACATTGGCTCCCAGCTTCTGCTTAACTGGTGTGTCCAGATTGCCAAGGTAAGTACAGAGGCCACTTACGGTTTCAAATGCTCTACAATCAGCCTGGAATTTTCATTCTAGATTTCAAATCTTTTGAATTTTTTCCCTACCAAAACTGAGTGATGAGTTTATGCTCTGTGTCTCTGTGCAACCAGAAATTTTGTATTATATTAACTTACAAATATAATGCAAGGTAATAATGTGGTAGAAAGGAGGAAGAAGGTTCTATGTTTTATTTTTCTTTCTTAAATTTGAATTGTTAGTTTTTGGTCGAGTTATATATTCTGTTTGTATGCATTTCTCAAGACTGAAGTGCTTCGCTTTGTAAACCACTTTTGATATATACATAGAAGTCATTTTCAGAAACTTTTTTTGGCTAATGTAGAACTAAAAGCAGACGTTGGATATGTGGAAAGAGATACCTGGGTTTTTGAGAATTGGCTCTCAAATACCTGAAATCAAATGAGGTAGGTAAATATTGCAGATGGTTTGAGAGAAGAATCTGGAGTCAACTGTATGTTGCAATAATTCAGTATCTGCCCTATCAAATGACACATTTTAATGACTGAAATACTAATCCCTTAATTTAACAGCATTAGGGAAAGTTTCAGAAAACATGTAGAAAATATCAAGTTTTGTCAATAGCTTTTTTCTCTCTTGTATTATATAGACTAATGTGGACTGTTGCCCTCTGCTGCCCTATTTATGAAGTAAATAAGAAACATTCATACTGATAATTTTTATTTCAGTCTGAGAAAGGAAATCATGCGGGCAGGGGAAAAGTCAACAATGTATTTTATGCCCTGTCACTGTTTACTGTCTGTTTCCTGGCATTTCTCCCCTCCGCCTCCCCAAACACCCTCAAGCTTCAGCTTAAAATCTGGTGCATGTTTAAAGAACTTTTTTAGACAGTCGGGCTAGACACATCATGATGAATGGAGCCAAGCTTATCGTATACAGCAGCCCTCCAAATCTATATGGACTTCAAGAATAACACATGGCTAATATGTTGCATTCAGTTGGAGAAAATCACAGGTTGTCTATACTTGGCCTGGCTAGATGTTGTACATGCCCTTCTTTACAATACCCATCCTTGGCCTATACCTTCCTTCTTGAAGCTGTGCCCCCACTTGCCATGGAGCAGGATTAATTGGCTAAATTGCTTGGTTTTGTAATAACGCCTCCTTCATGTTCTTCTCTGGAATGTCCGTACTCTTGTTTGAGGAAGCCCTATTGAGGATGCGTTTTGAGTGTGCTTATTCAAGTATATTCATTCAGAATTAAGGGACAGTCTCTATTTGTGGGACAAATAAGTGCACAACCAAAGTGAACAGGCCATTGTTGATACTGCATTGGTGAGATGCCACAATAAAATGGAAATTGGAAATGAAACAGGAAAATCAAATTATTCCACTTCTCTAATATACGATCTAGCAGGGGAATTCATGCAAAACCATTTACATGATTAGTCCCACCGTTGTCTGGAGTCTTCAATTTGTGACTTAGTATGAAACGAGGAATACAAGCAGTCATTCCTTAACTAGTGGTAACTCACCATTGTGATTTGTGCCATTGCACTTACTCTTGAGTTTGCAAGCAGTAAGATTCTGGCCAATATTTGCCATTCTTCTCTAAGACATATACATGCTGCCTTTCAGCTTATCTGAGGTCCCTCAAATTACTTAATGCAATAAAATTACTATATTCCAAGATGACCTTATACTATACAAACGTGAATCCATTGTTACTATCACTGCTAGATTGTGGACTATTGCTTCCCCCTTTTGGAGGGTGCCTACCTTGGAATCAGGAAGAAATTCTAAGAGGAGATGCAAAACTCTGAGATATTAATATAGAAAAAAACATTTTTATCAGTTTAAATAAATTTCTGTGGTAGATGTTGCTCCCAGAATATAGGATTTCTCAAGAAAAACTGTTTGTGTTTATCTTCCATTGACATCTGGCTAGTTCGCGCATGTAATAGTGCAGAAGTTTCAAACGACAGGTTGTGACTAGAGCCGAAGTCAAAGAACAGCTGCACTAGCATTGAAGTTGCTTAAGAAGGAGGCATCCACAGCTGCACCAACATAGCATCTTAAATGAAGAGTTCATGTTATTGAATTTGGTGGGACTTACTCATGTGTAGGATGGTACAGGTCACAGCTTCAGTCTCCTAAATTCAGAAATGTTAAGTTAAATCTTTTTTAAAAACAATGCAAAACAAAACAAAATAAAGGACATTGGGTGTCAGGTGAAGAGGAGCTACTGATCATTCAGCACTGATGTGTTTGAAAAGGCCAGTTCTTCTTTAAAGAAGAAGAAGAAAAGAGCAAATATGTAAAATTAATTGATGGTAATCATTAGGGAAAGGAAGGAACAAAAAGATGGCTTACTATTGACATGGAGAAGCAAAGTTTAATTGCTCTATCTCTTTCTGTATCATCATGGTCTAAGGTTAATATTACTCTGACCTTGCATTATAGCATGAAGCTTGGCTGTTCATAAATGACACTTATTAGCAACATCTGCTTTCCTTGTAACTTGCATGGCAGGTCCCAGAAAGAGTTACCCTTTTAATAATTCACATTCTTAACCTGCCAGGATTAGTATCTCTCAAGCCATTCAGCTGTATGT